TGTAATATTCCCTTCATTTATTAGCCAGAATGTATCCACATTGTTTAGGCAAGCGTGTTTGTGAACAGTTTTCGAATTAGCACCACTTGGAACGATACTAACAACAATACTAACTAATTGCCAAGGTCTGCGCGACCATAAGACATACTTAAGAGTGTAGCAGATAACGAAACATGCTCAACAAACTCTGATTGACTTTTCAATGGTCGATGCTCACCTTCGGTGACGGTTTTCCAACGACGATGCACTCGAATTTCGTGGAAACACCTTCCGGCACGATTCTGTCCTCGAACCGTTCCTTGAACGTCGGCGCGATCAGTTTCTCCTCCATCTGCACGAATTCTTCTTTACGTCGGAAATCGCCCAACGATCTGACGACCAACCTGGCGAATGCCTTCGCTTTTCCGTGAACGTTCACAGCTTTCACGATATAGTTGCCCCGGTCCTCCGGAATCACGGACAAAAGTCGCAGCACACCGGTTCCGTCTTCTTTCTGCTCGATCTGAATATCGTGTGGACAATGTAGAACGTGACTCGAAGTCGGCGTAACATTAATTCAATCGCAACTGTACTACAATTTTTGCAATTCGGTTACATTGTAATTCGATTTTGCGGTTTGATTACGTTGTAATTCACATTTGCAATTTAATTGCGTTTGTAATTCAATTTTGCAATTTAATTGCGTTGTAAATCAATTTTGCAGTTTAATTACATTGTATTTCAATCACACTGTAATTTAATTGTAATGTAATTTAATTGTAATTTCATTTACACTGTAATACAATTACATTGTAATTCAATATTGCAATTTTATTAGATTGTATTTCAATTACAATGTAACTCAATTTTGCAATTTCATTATATTGTACTTCAATTACACTGTAATACAATTACATTGTAATTCAAATTTGCAATTTAATTACGTTTATTTCAATTGCACTGCAATTCAATTTTGTAATTTCATTATAGTGTATTTCTATTACTCTGTAATACAATTACATTGTAATGCAATTTTGCAATTTCATTACATTGTATTTCAATTACACTGTAATTCCAGATTGTGACCACAAAAATGGTCAATTTGGGAACAGGAGATTATTCGAGCCTTCCGGTTTATTTTTATAGTTATAAATTGTCCACAATTATACAAACGAGCCGCAAGGCTCGAATAATCGTATCTCCACTTCCCAAATTGTCCATTTTAGTGGACAATCTGAGCGTCGGTAAGGGAGACATTACCGTACGCGGAACAAGATGGCGCCTTTGCGCGTATATTCCCCCACCCCCACATTTATTTGGCTGCCCCCACTGCCGCAGCACTCGATCGGTATTGGCCGAGAACGGCGGCGAAGATCGTCGTCGGTCAATTCATATTATTCGAGAAGCGCGAAGATATTCGATTATTTCACAATTTTTACAGTAATGTCTCTCTAATTGACGCCCAGATTGCGCACAAAAATGGATAATTTTGGAAGAGGAGATACGATTATTCGTGCCTTGCGGCTCGTTTCTGTCTCTTATACACATCTAGATGTGTATAAGAGACAGAAACGAGCCGCAAGGCACGAATAATCGTATCTCCTCTTCCAAAATTATCCATTTTTGTGCGCAATCTGAGCGTCGGTAACGGAGACATTACTGTATTTGAAACGATGGAAACAGAAGAATGACGAACAGCAAGCAACGAACACAGCCAATCTACCAAAAAATTTAATCGACCGATTACCAAAATTCTGTCGTTTCCGGTGATCTCGCCGCTGTCGGAGAACCATTTCAGTTCCGGTTTCGGTTCTCCAATCACCGCGCAGTCGAAGATGGCGTTCTCGCCTTCGGCCACCAACGAGTCCGTCGGCAGCTTCACAAATTTCGGTGGCGAGCCGGCGGCGAGCGTTTCTTCGGCTTCCGGTTGCACCTTCTCCGTCTCGTCGGGAACGGAAACCGCTAAACATAAATATGTTCCCAGTGGAATATATTATATTAGAACAAGCGTCGCATCGTTCTCCATAAATACTGTCGTTTCGAGAACAACCTTCGAGTTACGTGTCAAACGAATAATAATAAATATCGTTGACACTCGAACGACGTTCTTAAGCGCTGCACATATTTCGGTAGCTTATGCGAGAGGCGTCCGAGATGCCGGCCAATTAGAATTGAATTTTGCAATGACGATCCTAATATATAACTGTGCGGCGCCGTCCTTAGCTCATGCACTACGGATTTATAGTAATTTACAGGCTGTTAATATACATAATAACAATTAATATGATATACTAATGGAAACGTACATTATTGTTTATAAAATACTATTAAGTATTATGTAAATATAATGTAATATATAAATAAATAATAAATAAATAATATAATATATAAATAATAATAATATAATATAATATATAATTACTAATATTATATAAATATAATATAATAATATTAAATATTATTAAATATATAATTACTAATATTATATAAATATAATGTAATAATATTAAATATTATTAAATATATAATTATTAATATAATATAAATATAATATAATAATATTAGATATTATTAAAAAAATATATAATTACTAATATTATATAAATATAATATAATAATATTAAATATCTTTAAATATATAATTACTAATACTATTGAATATGCAAATAATAACTGTATTTAATTTTCAGATAATATTCAACACACTTGTTTTACAATAATAATGATGATAATGATTAAAATTATTGTTTATACCAACGTCGATATAAAGAAATAAAATCTGGGATTCACTGACTCAGGATTACAAGTTAAAATTACCTAGTTTCATTTAAAAATATAACGGTGACCTTGTTTTTTTTACCGAAAATTAATTTGTTCATAAACTCAAACAATTGCAATTTCTGGTCGGTTAAATTGCTAATTAACTTGTCTAGGAAACATTTTCCTATTTCACCAATTTGTGACTCATCCTCTATAAGAGGAGAAACGACAATATTGACGGAGCCACGCCGATAGTTTTCACATTGTTATCGTTTCCAGCTACTCACGTGTCACCGTTAAAGTGCACTGACTAGATGCTTCGCCGCCAGAATTAATGGCGACTACTTTGTAGACACCGGCGTCGTCCAGGAATGCCTCGTGGATCACCAAGGAGCACTTGTCACCCTGGAACAACAGCTGGAAGTCGGCGGACTCCTTCACCGGTTGATCATCGTGGTACCAGATCACCTGTAACAACAGATTTAGCAACGCGTAGGTAATTACTTCCGCCGGTAAACAATGCCGATGATTATGATAAACGTAAAGTACAACGCTTCGCCGAACGTTCGAACAAATTTAACCGCGTTTTCGACGCTAAAGTTTCTTTACAATGTAATTAACTGTTATGTCCCGCTGCACACTCTCATGAAATTATTAATGAGAATCAGAATTTGCATGTGAACAAGCAAAAGAACAAATAAAGTTTCAAAATAACAATTCTAAATATTGTTTGTCGACTTTTCTGATATTGTATTTCACATTCTCGTTTTAATCAGACCTTGTTTGAAATCGTATAATATTTGTTAACATTGGAACTATGTACAAGTTAGGTAGACATTAATTTAAATATTAATTCACGGCTTTGGAATGATACGTGTATACGGAATATCGAGATTTGATGAGAAAAGAAGCGTTGACGATGGTTTTGAAAGTTTAAGTCGGTCCGTTAAGTTCTAATAAATATTACAAATACATATTAATATTCATATATGTTATAAATACAAATATATTATGAACGTAAATATATTATAAATATGTTATAAATGTAAATATATTTTAAATATGTTATAAATGTAAATATATTTTAAATATACATGTATTACAATTATAGATATATTTTTAATATAAATGTATTATAAATATAGATGTATCTTAAATATAAAAATATATTGTAGATACAAATATATATTGCAAATACAAATATATTGTAATTAGAAATATATATTGTAAATACAAATATATTGAGAAGTTAGAAATATACTCTAAATACAAATATATTGTAATTAAAAATATAGTGCAATTAGAAATATATTGTAAATACAAATATATTGTAATTAGAAATATACTGTAAATACAAATATATTGTAATTAGAAATATACTGTAAATACAAACATATTGTAAATACAAATATATTATAAATATAAATACACTATAACACAATAAATACATTATAAATATAAATATATTTCAAATTAAATATAAATATACATATTATAATAAATATCATTTCAATTAGTCGACTCAAAATACGAAAATAATTGCCCGTTAAACGTTCGAGGGCCCAGTATCCGAGTGCAATCGAATGAGAGAAAGCTCAAGAGATCACCGAGATTCTGTCGAGACTTCTCGGACTGTCTTCGGTTCCAGGTATACTTACTTCCGGCTCAGGTTGGCCGACGATGACGCAGTCCAGGCGGACGGACCTGCCCTCCTGGGCCCTGAGGTCCTTGAGGGGCATCTGTATCTTGGGCACGACGGGCTCCATGTCGCTGCAAGCGAGCTCCGAGTCGCTGGTCTCCTGAGGAAGCCGGCCTTTCACCGAGACGTTGCAGGAAACCGTGGCTTCACCGGCGTCGTTTCTCGCGGTGACCGTGTAGCATCCGGCGTCCTTCGCGAACGCCTCCGCGACGATCAGGCTCGCCTGGCCGCCGTCCGTTTGTATCTGAAAAGCAAACGGATCGCGACACCCTGAGAGCCCGCTCGATTCCAGTACTTCCTTTTCCTTCGTCGCCGGCGCGTTGCTCTATTTCGAATTCGACGCGTGCAAGTCGTCGCTAAAAATATCGGGGGATGCTCGCGAAAGGCTCAACCGAGGAATCGTGGAAGCGAGAGGAGACGAGGAAACGTTGTTTTCTTCGGGGGGAGAGACGGGGGCGCTCGGTTCGTCGTCGAGCGTCGACTCGGTTCGCCGTTTTATCGACGGAACGCACCGGAAAGGTGGGATCCGATCGGAAATACGACAATTTCTCCCTAATTCGCGCTCCGAAATACAACAATTTCTCCCCAATTCGTGCTCGGAAATACTACAATTTCTCCCTAATTCGCGCTCGGATATACAACAATTTCTCCCCAATTCACGCTCCGAAATACAACAATTTCTCCCTAATTCGCGCTCGGAAATGCAACAATTTCTCCCTAATTCGTGCTCGGATATACAACGATTTCTCCCCAATTCGCGCTCCGAAATACAATGTCTTCCTAATTCGCGCTCGGAAATGCAACAATTTCTCCCTAATTCGCCCTCGGAAATACAACGATTTCTCCCTGATTTGCGCTTGGAAATACAATAATTTCTCCCTGATTCGCGCTCGGAAATACAACAATTTCTCCCTAATTCGCACTCGGAAATACAACAATTTCTCCACAATTCGCGCTCGGAAATACAACAATTTTTCCCTATTTCGCGCTCGGATCGCGCACGTATATTCTGCCATTTTTTTTTTTGGTCAAAATTGTGGACATTTTATGTCCATTTTATGTTATTTAATTGTCCATTATTCGCTTCGCGAGCTAAGGAAACAATTCGATAAATAATATGAATATAGAAAAGTCAGAAAATATTGTTTATTTATAAAAATATCATTGAAGGAAGATATTCGATTGCTCGTTATCCTTTTCAATTTAGCATAGAAATGTGAATCGTCGAGAGTCGTTTATTCGCTGAGAAAAATCGTTGCAATAATCAGCGACCGGAATTCTTTACCTTTATATTCATGGTTTCCTCCACCGGTCTTCCATCGTGGTACCAAGTAAACGTCGGCAGCGGATTTCCTGTTGCCTTGCATTCGAGTTTCACCCTCTGACCTGCTCGGCCCATCGCGTTCGACAAAGGTATCGTGAAACGTGGCTTCTCCATGTTGCTTTCCGGGCCTGGAATCGATCAAAGAACGTTCTCTGTGACTGTCGTATGTAGCTGATGCAGAAGGGGTGCCACTGTTTTCGAAGATCAAAGCGAATTGTAAACTGACTACGTTCGGTACCATTTGCGGGCCATTGAACGTCTGCAGGTTCGAGGGAAACAGTGCTATAGAATCGCTATACGTTTTAAGATGGTATTACTATACGTTTTGATATAGTATTGTGTTACTGTACAATTTAATGTAGTATTAATATAATATTATTGTATATTTTAATATAATATTATTATACATTTTAGTATAGTATTACTGTACATTTTAATATACTATTACTATACATTTTAATATATAATAATATTATTATACATTTTAGTATATTATTACTGTATATTTTAATATAGTATTACTATGTATTTTAATATAATATTATTACACATTTTAATACAGCATTACTATACACGATGCCCCAAAAATATTCTGCAATCCGGAAATGACGGGTTCCTCAGGTCATTTGAAGTAATTTTTTTCTCAACGAAAACGTTCTACGACGCCCCGTTAACGAGTTATTAACAAACGCTGACCAATGAGAGATCGCGTACGGCTGACGCCCCACTCTCGCGACTCCTGCCGCTGCGTCGCGACGGCAGCGCTCGCTCTCCGATTGGTCACTGTTTTTCCTCGATAACTCGTAAACGAAGCCGCGGATTGCATTTTCGCTAAGGAAAAAGTTACTTCGAATTATCTGAGGTACCCCGATTTCCGGATTGCGAGACATTTTTGGGACACCCTATATATTACTATGTGATAATAGAAACAATAAAATTATTCTACCGGATTGTGGAATACAATTTTCTTGCAAGCTCTAGTTTCAGCACGGATTAAATATTTTTTGAAAATTATTTACAAGCAAACACTATATTGCGACAAGCGTACATCATAATTGTGCAATGCTTTTCGTAGTAAACACACTGAAATACGGTTAAAGAATGTCGTGAAATCGATGAAATACACCAAATTGAGGCTGTTCACCAGATGTCGTGAAGAATTTCCTGTAAAATTATTATAAAAATGTATTGCAAAACCATGAATAAAAACTGTCGGTTATTTATAAATTAAAGAAGCACAATTTAAAAAGAAAAGACATATTTGTTAGAGACGACTTACAATATACATTAATATTTACACTTGCCATGCACAGAGAACAGTTCATTAAAGTATACATAGAAAGCGTTAAAACAAAATCAATTTATAATTTCGATTATTTGCAAAGTTTGAATTAATAAACGGCCCAATCAAAGCTTGTTAATCGATTGAAATTAACCGATAGCTTGTGACCAGGATACGTGCCAAGAATATGACTATACATATACAATATATATACTGTATCCTACATTTTGTATTTACGTATCACGTGTTACATGCCATACAGAACATTTGGTATACTATATATAATACGACATAGTAGATGTACAATATAACACACTTATCAATGAACCGTGACACGCGGGATTTACGGTTGGACAAAGAAATCAAAATAAAACTCTCACTTTGCACATCGAGAAAAGCCGAGGTGGAAGCGTGGCCCAGACGGTTCGCCGCTTTGCACGTGTAAGTGGCCTTGTCCTCGAGGAACACTTCCTCGAACTTCAACACAGCCTCGCCGTTGTTGTACGTGATCACGTAGTCCGGTGAATTGTCGATGTTCGTGTCGTTTTTATACCACTGCACCGTTGGCAGCGGATTGCCCTCGACGGTGCAATCCATTCGCAGCGGAGAGCCTTCCGTTACCACCGACGCTGTCAACTCCTTCACGAAAACCGGCGGACTGGCTTGCTCTTCCGGCGCTGTTTCTGCAAATTAGAGAAAAAACGGCGCCAATTATTGCTATTCATCTCCCATCGTTTGTAAGAATGCGATGTATTACAGTAATTTCTCCCGTAAATGCCAAATTTCGGGTTTCTCTGAATTTCCTTGCGCTTGTCCTACGCCTATGTTATTTGAGGCTACGTCGATGCTAAGGGTCGACGGAGTCGGTCAAGGTTATGTCAATTGGGGAGAATTTACTGTGCTAGGTTATGTGACTAGACCTCGTGCTAGTCCTACGCCTATGTTATTTGCGGTTACGTCGATGCTAAGGGTCGACGGAGTCAGACAAGATTATGTCAATTGGGAAGAATTTACTGTTCTAGGTTATGTGACTAGTCCTTGTGCTAGTCCTACGCCTATGTTACTTGCGGCTACGTCGATGCTAAGGGTCGACGGAGTCGGTCAAGGTTATGTCGATTGGGAAGAATTTACTTTTCTAGGTTATGTGACCGTCAAATCGTGTCACGTGGCCTCGGAATTGCCTTCGNGACGGAGTCGGTCAAGGTTATGTCGATTGGGAAGAATTTACTTTTCTAGGTTATGTGACCGTCAAATCGTGTCACGTGGCCTCGGAATTGCCTTCGAATCGTGTCACGTGGCCTCGGAATTGCCTTCGAATCGTGTCACGTGGCCTCCAAAATTACATTAATGGTCGGTATTAATGAATAATTATAACAAATGAATATAATTCGTGTTCAGTAATTTGGACATACCCCACTATCCCCTGGTTTATGTTACAATTTATCGATATAAAAATATGCTATTATTTTTTATCAATATAATATATTTATATTCCTAATATAAATATTAATGAACAGGCTAGAGGGATCTTCGCGCAAAATAAGAATTGCTTGCATCAATTGTAAACAGAGAGACCAACCAATAATTAATTTCGCTTGTAATAATTCCTATAAATTGTAAACAATGTGTCGACGTTCTTAAATGTTTGTAATATTGCTATTTAAAATTGTGCCCATTCGGCTGCGTTAAAAGATCCTAAATAAAATTCCTGGCACTAATAAAAAGAAAAAAACGAGAATCTCACCTTTGACAGTCAACGTGGCAGAAGTTTCGGCAGAGCCGGCGATATTGAACGCTCTGCAAGTGTATTTAGCAGAATCCTCGGCGAATGTTTCTTCAATTGTCAACGTACAGAGACCGTGGTGGTAAGTCGTCAGATAATCGGGGTTATTTAAAATCGAGATTCCGTCTTTGTACCAGACCACTTCCGGCAGGGGGTGGCCGACGAGATTGCACTGGAACGTGAATTTCTCGCCCTCTTGCACGGTTGCATCGTTCAGGGGAACTATGAACTCCGGAGCCAGAGGTGGCACGCTGTCCACTTGCATCGTTTCGTAAAATCTTTCTTGCGATTCTTCGGTGACGGTTTTCTTCGCCGGGCTTGGTTCTCGAGACAATGCTGGAACCGTTTTCTCGATTTCCGTCTGAAATTAAGATTTCATTGTGAAGCTGACCTGATAAGCCAGTACGATTTATCATTGTGCTTTTTATGTAGTTATGATCATAGTTTAATCTCTTATTTTAAGATTTTTGTTATTTATTGATTTTATTATTATATCAGGTTGTGTAATAAATTCATTCGCGGGCTTCTGACATTTAGGAAAAGATAAGAAAAATTACGCGAATTCAATGCGGTAGTTCAGATGAATTTTGAAATCGGTTCTCGCGGAGCTATATCCATGCAACTTAACTCAAATGAAAGCTGAAAGAGTCTACTCTTCAAGACAGGGTAAATTAAATTGCAATAGAATGACGAAATCATTTTGAGAAATTAAAAGGAATCGATCTCTGTCATTGTGGGGTTGACAAGATTTGAAAGGAAAAGTTTAGATGGATTTTAAAATACGTTCCCGTAGAACTGTTGCTATGCAACTTAGCTTAATTGAAAGCTGGAAGAGTTTACTTCAAGACAAGGTAAATTAAACTGCAATAGAATGGCGAGATCATTTTGACAAATTAAAAGGAATCTACCTCTGACATTATAGGGCTGACAAGATTTAAAAGAAAAAGTTTAGATGGATTTTAAAATACGTTCCCATAGTACTATTTCTATGCAACTTAGCTTAATCCCTTGACTTACAATGACGGGCATAGCCCGCGTACGATGATCGGGCCAGAAGTAAATATTACGGGCATAGCCGTGTTACACAAGTCGTGCGAACGTCCCGAACGCTGCGCGAGCTTGTATACAATTTCGGCCCAACATCTTCGAATCTAAATCGTAGGTTAAGGGGTTAAATGAAAGCTGAAAGTGTCTACTTTAAGACAGAGTAGAGTAGGCTGAAATTGTACGATAAGTCCGTTCGCGTTGACGAGTGCACCGTAACTTTCGTATAAGAAAACGCGAACAAAAGAGCATTACCTTCTGCAAAATATGTATTTCTTTAGTGGTGACAGCAGAAGTGACTGTTTTCTGGACAAAGCTTTCATCGGTAGTCTCGATTTGCTCTGTCTGCGCCGACACGGAACACAGCGGCGCGGTCGAGATTGTCTGCGCCTCCCTTTCTTCCTTCAACTTGTTCGCTTCCGCGGTCGCTTTGTGCAACGTCTCGGCCGCGAGCTTCTCCGCGATTTTCCTCGCGTTCTCCGCTTCTTCTCTAGCAGCGGTCGCCGCGGCCATTTCGACTTTGGCGGCCTGCAACCTCTCGTCGGTTTCCTGCTTCTCTATTCGTAGCTTCTCCCGTATGTCCTCCGCGTTCCGCAGATTTTCCATCAACGTTTGCAACTCGGAGGAGACGACGGAGAACGAGTCGAGCATTTGTCGGTTCTCAAGTATCACTTCGCTGAATTGGGGCAGCCTGTCTGTTCCTGCCAAGCGACATTAAAGCAATTACTAAATGTCGATACAATTAATGTAATTAATTATATAATATGGTGAATCGACGTCCGTAAATATTGATGCAATTCATTTAACGAATTAATGTCTCAGCAAATATTATAATATCAGAAACAATCAATATAATGAATCAATGTCAATCAATTCTGATGCAATTAATGTTACAAATATTCATACAATTGATGTAATTAATTAATGTCAGCAAACATTGATGCAATTAATATGATGAGTCGATGTCAATAAATATTGATGCAATTAATTTAACGAATGAACGTTAGTTCAAAGAAAAATATCGTCTTACACCACATTTAATTTAAATTGCACAATTCTAGGATATAAATATAATAGTATATACAGGGTGTCCCAAAAATGTCTCGCAATCCGGAAATGGCGAGTTCCTCGGATCATTTGAAGCAGCTACTTCCTTTACAAAAATTTTCTCCGAGGCACCGTTAACAAGTTATTAACGAAAAACAATGACCAATAAAAATCGAGTACGGCTGGCGCGATGCGGCCCAGCCAACCAGCGCACGAAGCCCAGTTCCGCTCATTGGCTCGGTCGCCTCGCGCCAGCCGAGCTCGCCTCTCATTGATCACTGTTTTTCGTTAATAACTCGTTAATGGTGCCTCGGAGAAAATTTCTGTAAAGGAAAAAGTTGCTTCAAATAACCCGAAGAATCCGCCACTTTCGAATTGCGAGACATTTTTGGGATACCCTGTAGAAGCTGGATGAAAATGGCTGATGTTTTCAGATTTATTTACCGAATATTACAGTCGACAACCCTTTCAGTTTCTCGATCCTCTGCTCCTGTATCTCCTCGCCAGGTTTCGCGTAGTACTCCATTTCCTGAATAAGCTCCATAACATCAGCCGGCGTTTTCACGGTGGTAGCTTTCCTCGCGATCACCATCAGCAGTTTGCTACCGGTTCTGTTCCACTCCCTGGCCTCGTCCAGAAGAACGAAGTACTCCTCGCACAAGTTCATCCGTCTCTTCGTTTCGGCGACCCTCGTCTCGAAGCTCCTCCATCGTTCTCTCAACGAGGAAACGTCGTTCGCGATCTCCGGTGTCAGAAGCATTATCGACTCCTCCGTGGTTCTCACGAACGTCTCGATTCTCTCCTTCAGAATCTACGAACAATCGGTGCGAATAATCTACGAGCGTTCCAAACGTGGCACAGGGAATACACTTTTTTAGTACAATAATTTAGTAAAATAAACTTTTTCGTTTCTATCTGTCTAGCCTGAATCAATATCTAATTTGTTCTAGAATATTTAGAATCGCGATCTAGAATTCGCGACACACTCATACACGTACAATTGTATTAGGATGACAGCTTGTAATATACTTATCTTTTACCAGTCTAACCAGTCGTCAAATTCAATTATTCCATTTCCTGATTCGAAGCAGCAGTTGGTACAAATCCAAAGAGATACATCTTTACCGCTCAAGGTTAATTTCTTCATTTCTTTTCTTTATTTAAAAGTTACGAGGAAACCAAATTCTTAATTTTGTACCCCGCCAACCTAGTGACACCTTGATGATGAAATAGACATCGGCTAGTTCACGAGAATCTATCCTAACTTAGTGGCACCCCGGTGATGAAATAGACCACGATTAACACGTTCCGTGCCACGTGTACCATCGATGGTACACGCTTGCATGTTTACTTAGTGAACTGAACAAATTGTTTACAAGAAATTTAGAACCGAAGAATCAATTTCCACCGCAAGAATGGGCGTTGATAAGTTTTTGTTACGTTGTTATGTGTACGAGAATTAATAATTGCACGTAATACATCAAGTTTTAGTAAAATATCAAAGTGTGAAGATTCGAGTAAAAAAAGCTCGACACGGAACGTGTTAATCGGCTAGTCCACGATTAATTCTAACTAGTGACGCCCCCGATGATGAAATAGACACAGACTAGTTCACGAAATGTCCAATCCTTACAGTGGCGTCCCGGTAATGAATAAACATTGCCTAGTCCACGCTATTCTACTAGTGATGTCGCGTTGATGAATTAGACAAGGGCTAGTTCACGAAATATTTATCCTTATAGTGGCGCCACGGTGATGAAATAAACATCGACTAGTTCACGAAAAGCTATCCTAACCTAGTGACGCCCCGGTGATGAAATAAACATCGACTAGTTCATGAAAACCTATCCTAATCTAGTGACACCCTGGTGATGAGATAGACATCGTTTAGTCCTCGATTAACCTGCCTAGTAATGCCCCAGTGATGAAATAAACATCGTCTATGTCATCCTACTAGTGATGGCCCGTTAATAAATTAAACAACGGCTAGTTCACCAAACATTTATCCTTACAGTGGCGCCCTGGTGATGAAATAAACATCGACTTCGCGAAAACCTATCCTAACCTAGTGACGCCCTAGTGACGCCCGATGTAAAATTGATCGAATAAAATACTCACCGAGACAGTCTTCTCAAACTGCGCGAAAGAAGACGCGGCAGCTTTGGCGGCCTGTAGATTCTCGCCGATCCTAGCTTCCACGTTCTTCAGATGTTCGTTCAGATCGCGCAGCTCGCCGTGGATCCTCTCCAAGTCCTCGACGAAGACGCGTGTTCGCCGATGCTCCTCGATCTTCTCAATTTGACGCTCGCAGTTCGTGAAATCGAAGCCGATCGACAGCATAGCGCGTTCCAATTTCTCGACGTCCTGGACACCGGCTTCCGGCGGCTCCTGTTGCCGGATTCGAGTTATCGTTTCTTGCATCCTGCCATTTAAATGGTTCAATCTGTCGCTGATGTATTTCCGCCTCGCGGCCAGCTCGCCTGTGATGCTTTCCACCTCGATCAGGCTCTTTAAGGACATCGCTCGCTCCGCCTGGAGCTTCAATTGGTCGATGTCGTGCTTGACCTTGGTGGGAATAAAAATTATTTATAGTATTTATGTAATAAATAATTTATATTATAAATTTTATATAATAATATATGGAATATATTATTATATAATATGCAGGGTGTCCCAAAAATGTCTCGCAATCCGAAAGTGACGGGTCCCTCAGGTCATTTGAAGCAACTTTTTCCTTTACAAAAATTTTCCTCGAAGCACCGTTAACGAGTTATTAACGAAAAACAGTAACCAATAAGAGGCGAGCTCAGCTGGCACGAGGCGATGAGCGAAACTGGGATTCGTGCGCTGGTTGGCTGGGCCGTCTCGCGTCAGCCGCACTCGATTCTTATTGGTCACTGTTTTTCGTTAATAACTCGTTAACCGTGCCTCGGAGAAAATTTTTGTAAAGGAAGAAGTTGCTTCGAATGATCCGAGGAACCCGCCATTTCCGGATTGCGAGACATTTTTGGAACACCCTGTGTATAAAATATGTTTATATAATATATATAAAATATATTATTATATAATATATAAAATATATTTATGTAATATATGAAATACGACGTCGTTCGACACGAATTAGATCATCGATCATGATGCTTTTGCACGATAATTTTCAATAAGTTTTTGTGCGCTGAAGGAAAAGCTGAATTTTTTAGCGAACATTTAATAGCCGTATGCAACGATTATGGCGACAGCGTGACAACTTACCTCGTCCATGCTCTGGCACACGCTAATCATTAAGTCCAACAGAGTCTCGTAACTTCTGGCCGTGGAGCGTAAATTTTCCTGCATCTGCTCGAGTCGCTTCAGTATCCCCTCGGCGATCTGACTCTCGCCTGTAAAAATACAATAATTTGCAAATCGCGTTACGCGACACCGATTATCGTCGCCGCGATTAGCTTACCTTTCTGGCCCAGGGACATCATGCTCGCGATACGACAATCCAACTCGTTCGCGGATTTGATCAATTCGGATGGGACGCGTGCCTTCGAATTCTGTAGATCCTGAAGGATTACCGACGCCTCGGAGGACAGGGTCCTTATTATTGGATACAGTTGCTCGCTGTATTTCACAACCGTCTCCAACGTCTACGCGGATAAACGAGCGAACGCTTGTTACGAATTTAATTTTCAATTATTAATAATTGATATTAGTACAAATATTAGTATTTGGTATTAATATTGATATAATATAAATATTATTGTATTGATATTGATATAGATACTAGTGATTGATATTAGTATAAAAAGAAATTGGTATTAATATAATTATTAGTAATTGATGGTAATATAAATATTAGTAATCGATATTAATATAAATATTAGTAATTAATATTAATATAAATATTAGTAATTAATATTAATGTAAATATTAATAATTGATATTAACATAATTATTAATAATTGATGGTAATATAAATATTAGTAATTAATATTAATGTAAATATTAATAATTGATAGTAACATAATTATTAATAATTGATGGTAATATAAANATAATTATTAGTAATTGATGGTAATATAAATATTAGTAATTGATGGTAATATAAATATTAGTAATTGATATTAATATAAATATTAGTAATTGATATTAATATAAATATTAGTAATTAATATTAATATAAATATTAATAATTGACAGTAACATAATTATTAATAATTGATATATTAATATCAATTATATATATTATTTTTATAAATATGATATTATATATTTATTTATCAATTACTAATATCACTTATTAATATTTACATTAACATTAATAAGTGATAGTAACATAATTATTAACAATTGACATTAATATAAGCACTAGTAATTTATATTAATATAAATATTAGTAACCGACATTAACATAACTACTAATAATTATATTACCTTTGTACTTTCTTCGATTCTTCGCTCGTACTCGATACGTTTCTCGATCAGAATCTCGCTGGTAATTCTCTTCAATTGCAGCTGTTTGTTCGCGAACCTGTCTAGAAGCGTTTGCACGCACAGGCAGGCTCTGTGCACGTCCAGATAAGGATCGTCGATCTGAAAAACAGATTCGATTTAATATAACCTTAACAGCGAAATATCAACCGTGGGAGGGGGCAGGGGGGAAGATTACGGTTGTTCCGGAGGGGTGAACAAACCGACCTTGACGGCCGCGTCCAAGAACGCTTTCCCGTTTCCGGTGAGCCTGAGGTAAAGGGACTGAAGATCGTTCCATCGTCTCTGAAGCTCGTCGACTTTCACAGCGTCGAGAAGGTCGGCCGGCCTCGTCAGCTCGTTCTCGATCGACTCGATCTCCCTCGTCAGCTCATCGACGTCCAGGTGAAACTGCAGGTAGACGCTGCCCAATTCGATTCTTTTCGCGAGCAGATTCCGCGTCCGGTTCCAAAGGCTCAACAACTCCGCGGCCTTCGATTCTAGCTCCATCCTCTGCAGCTCTTCCAATCGATCGGCGATCGGTCGGATCTCGAACTCGAGACGCTCGGCCTCCACGGTCCTCTGCTCGACGTCGTTCAACAGCTGACGGTGCAGCCGGCAGAAGTCCTTCGCCATCGCGACGTCGCTGCCCATGTCCTGGTGGCCCTGAAGAAACGCCTCCGGGATGCTCATCAGCCATTTACGAAGCTCGTCGTGCTTGTCCAGAAATCCGTTTATGATCCTCGAGATCTCGAGGTTCTCCTTCTCGTGGGCCGTGCAACGCTCCAGCAAACGGATCTTCCGGTTCTCCAGCTCCTCCACCATGCGCTTCACGCCCTGATCGGAAGAAAGAGACGTTGATGATGAAGTTTGCGTGTCTATGGCGAATGTCGATTCGTCTTGTCGTTGTTAGATCCTGTCGTTGTTTTATCAGGATTTTGTTAAGAATGTAACATTTTCGATATTATAGAATATAGAATATTTTAGATGCTATTTTGGATATTTTATGTGCTATTTTAAACGTTTTAGATGTTATTTTAAATATTTCAGACATTTTGGATATTATTTTAAACATTTTAGATATTATTTTAAATATTTCAGATATTATTTTAAATATTTTAGATATTTTAAATATTATTTTAGATTTTTCAGATATTATTTTAGATATTTTAGATATTTTAGATATTATTTTTGATAGTTTAGATATTATTTTACATATTTTAGATATTTTAGATATTATTTTTGATAGTTTAGATATTATTTTACATATTTTAGATATTTTAGATATTATTTTTGATAGTTTAGATATTATTTTACATATTTTAGATATTTTAGATATTATTTTTGATAGTTTAGATATTATTTTACATATTTTAGATATTTTAGATATTATTTTTGATAGTTTAGATATTATTTTACATATTTTAGATATTTTAGATATTATTTTTGATAGTTTAGATATTATTTTACATATTTTAGATATTTTAGATATTATTTTTGATAGTTTAGATATTATTTTACATATTTTAGATATTTTAGATATTATTTTTGATAGTTTAGATATTATTTTACATATTTTAGATATTTTAGATATTATTTTTGATAGTTTAGATATTATTTTACATATTTTAGATATTTTAGATATTATTTTTGATAGTTTAGATATTATTTTACATATTTTAGATATTTTAGATATTATTTTTGATAGTTTAGATATTATTTTACATATTTTAGATATTTTAGATATTATTTTTGATAGTTTAGATATTATTTTACATATTTTAGATATTTTAGATATTATTTTTGATAGTTTAGATATTATTTTACATATTTTAGATATTTTAGATATTATTTTTGATAGTTTAGATATTATTTTACATATTTTAGATATTTTAGATATTATTTTTGATAGTTTAGATATTATTTTACATATTTTAGATATTTTAGATATTATTTTTGATAGTTTAGATATTATTTTACATATTTTAGATATTTTAGATATTATTTTTGATAGTTTAGATATTATTTTACATATTTTAGATATTTTAGATATTATTTTTGATAGTTTAGATATTATTTTACATATTTTAGATATTTTAGATATTATTTTTGATAGTTTAGATATTATTTTACATATTTTAGATATTTTAGATATTATTTTTGATAGTTTAGATATTATTTTACATATTTTAGATATTTTAGATATTATTTTTGATAGTTTAGATATTATTTTACATATTTTAGATATTTTAGATATTATTTTTGATAGTTTAGATATTATTTTACATATTTTAGATATTTTAGATATTATTTTAGACATTTTATACGCGTGTTAGATGTTATTTTAAACATTTTAGATATTTCAGATATTATTTTAGATATTTTAGATATTATTTTAGACATTTTATACGCGTGTTAGATATTATTTTAAATATTTTAGATATTACTTTAGACATTTTAGATATTATTTTAAATATTTTACATATTTCTTTAGACATTTTAGATATTATTTTTAATATTTCAGATATTTACATAAATATAATGCACTACATCAAATAAAGGACGTTTCGCATAATTTGTTAAAATCACTAATCTCGCTTAACCGACCTCGGCACCGGGAGCCCCTCGTCCTGTAACATCGAGGAGGCCGTATCCTTCGGTCAACGGCTTCGAGGTGACATCTTCTATGGCGGTCACTGTCTGAGCATGGAACCGAGCTAACCGTAACGAGTACGGCGGATGCTCTGTCGTCACCAGCTGGATTTCAAGCTGATCCAGTTTCGTAATGGCCTGCGTAAGGGGTGTCGAACTTAATTCAAGTCAATTTCATTAATTTAACAATGGCAATTAACAAATACTAATTACGCATTTAAGCAATTCACAACTTTGGACTTAGGTCAATCTCGTCGACTAAGGGGCTCGCATATTACTCTCTACAGGGTGTCCCGAAAATGTCTCGCAATCCGGGAATGGGAGGTTCCTGGGGTCATTTGAAGCAACTTTTTCCTTTGCGAAAATTTTCTCCGAGGCTTCGTTTACGAGTTGTTAACGAAAAACACTGACCAATAAGAGGCGAGCTCAGCTGGCGCGCGACGCCCCAGCCAACGAGTGCGCGGAGCCCAGTTCCGCTCATTGGCTCGGCCGTCTCGCGCCAAATGATCTCACCTCTGATTGGTCACTGTTTTTCGTCAATAACTCGTAAACGAAGCCGCGAATTGCATTTTCGCTAAGGAAAAAGTTGCTTCAAATGACCTCAGGAATCACCTACTTTCGGATTGCGAGACATTTTTGGGACACCCTGTATAATACCTTACAGTACATTGTGTACTGGAATATTCTTAATTATTAATCATTTAAATCTTAATTATTTAAATGAATCGAATAAGCAGAATCTCGAAAGGAAAACGCGTTCAATTCAAATACTCACCGACCGCGCAGAATCGAAAAACGCTATAGCCCTGTTCAACAGCGATTCATACTGATCCAAGTCGTTGACATAATCAGCCGCGGCACCGAGGATCGCGTAAGCTTGTTCCGTCGCCTGTTCGCCGGCGAAGTGTCCGGATGACACTAATCGTTCGGTGGACTTCGTTATCTTGATCGATCTGTCTTGGAATTCCTGAAATTTTCATATCGATTATCTGAAACTGGAGAATACTGCAATAATTAGGTATTTCGAGGGTATGTACTTCTAAACAAATTTTATAGATATGTATAATGAACGGTGAAAATATTAATAGCAAAATATGGTTGAAAATACGACGAAATATAGTTAATTGTTCCTTTGCTTTATAGCAAAGTTAAATTATTAGCAAATAAAAATTCGAGCGAGAGAGGGAGAGAGAGCGCAAGAGAGAGAGAGAGTGAGAGAGAGGGAAAGAGAACGAGAGAGAGCGAGTGAGCGAGAGAGAATGTGAGGGAGAGGACGAGAGAGCGAGAGAGAGAGGACGAGAGAGCGAGAGAGAGTATGAGAGAGAGGGCGAGAGAGAGCGAGAGCAAGAAGGAGAGAATGAGAGAGAGGGAGAGAGAGAGGGTGAGAGAGAGGGAGAGAGAGAGAGAGAGAGAACGAAGTTTAATTCAATCACCCAACTTAATTTACCAAAAACTTAAGTTCAACTATTAAATTCCTACGCACTGCTCATTCTAATTCATGAAAATCTAAACGAATAAGATTCCACGTTCCGCGTGACCGGCTTCATGTATTTCGCGAGAAACGAGAATAGACATGATAGAACGCTTCGGAATTACCTTGGCTTCGGCCTGCAGCTTTTTCAATTCGAAGAGAAGCAGTTCCGCGCTGGACGCGGAATCGCCGAGCTGGTCGCAGCTGCTCGAGAGGGCGGCGATTCTGTCGTTCAAGATCTCCTCGAGATCACGTAGGTCGGTGGCTAGCAGAGCGAGAGCCAGGCATTGCTCCAATTGAGTCTTTCGACTACGAAATGACGTTTCGATCAATTGTCTTCTGTCGTGGAGCTCTTCCAGCCATCTTTCGACTTTTATCACGGCTGCACAGAGGCCAACGGCAAAACACGTTGTCAGAGAGAAATATCGCAAGTAAACATAATCGGAGTATTGTTCGAACGAGACGGAAGATATTCTGTCGCTTTTTATCGTGTACGAAAATTGTTTGTAATTTCATTTATTTTATTTTTTTTTAGGAACGAAGGTGACTTAATTAATTATCTAAATAGAATAACATTTATTTTCGTATGTCGCACAGGATTCACCCACGCAAAATTTGAATCGTTTGAACAATGATTGAAAAAAAAATAATTGGAGATATAATTGTAATTGTTTTTTTCCTATTGTTTAATTTAATGTGTAATGGTAATGGAGACACCCTTTTTGCATATTCCGCGGTTTGACTGCACTAAGAATTGTTGCATTACTTTTCTTCGTGCTTATTTATTTGTTTCTTCATTTATTTATTTCGTAGGCAATTTCTAAGAACAGAGAGGAAACTAAATTAATTTCAAGCTTTCAATGTTAACCGTAGCTTCTTCTCGCGAGCGCAATCTGTTCGGTTACGGATACAGCGAGGGACCTATTAATCTTTGTTGGAAATTTCACTTTAGCATGATTTACTATGGTGTCACTGCATGCTACGTCCGTTTAACCCGTCAAATTCCTCTTTAAACGTTCTCGACTTTCCAACTGCGACGAAGAAACGTAATCACAACTTCGAAGAACTATTTTGCGGTGGATCTTATGCGCTTTCTCTGCGAATTAACATTCTTAGCGTGCCCGCACGTTTATAAACAAAATTTTTATTGTCCGAAGACGAGAAACTAGCCTCTTCAATTTGCTCGAAAGTTTCGTGAATTCATGTGAAATGTTACAGGATGTACAAGTACTGTATGCCATTTGACTTCGTTATTCGAACTGTTCTGCTGCTAAAATATTCTACTGTAAAAGAATTTTACAGTTAAATATTATTATTGTTAATTAATTAATTATTATTAATACATTCTACTATTAAAATAGACTACTATTTTACAATTAAAGCATTACATTATTAATACATTCTAGTATTAAAACTGTTAAAATATTCTACTGTTTTACAATTAAGAATTGTATTATTAAGGCATTCTACTATTAAAATATTCTACTATAGATGTGTATAAGAGACAGATTTGATGTAGTGCATTATATTTATGTAAATATCTAAAATATGTAAAATAATATCTACACTATCAAAAATAATATCTAAAATATCTAAAATAATATCTAAAATATCTAAAATAATATCTAAAATATCTAAAATAATATCTAAAATATCTAAAATAATATCTAAAATATCTAAAATAATATCTAAAATATCTAAAATAATATCTAAAATATCTAAAATAATATCTAAAATATCTAAAATAATATCTAAAATATCTAAAATAATATCTAAAATATCTAAAATAATATCTAAAATATCTAAAATAATATCTAAAATATCTAAAATAATATCTAAAATATCTAAAATAATATCTAAAATATCTAAAATAATATCTAAAATATCTAAAATAATATCTAAAATATCTAAAATAATATCTAAAATATCTAAAATAATATCTAAAATATCTAAAATAATATCTAAAATATCTAAAATAATATCTAAAATATCTAAAATAATATCTAAAATATCTAAAATAATATCTAAAATATCTAAAATAATATCTAAAATATCTAAAATAATATCTAAAATATCTAAAATAATATCTAAAATATCTAAAATAATATCTAAAATATCTAAAATAATATCTAAAATATCTAAAATAATATCTAAAATATCTAAAATAATATCTAAAATATCTAAAATAATATCTAAAATATCTAAAATAATATCTAAAATATCTAAAATAATATCTAAAATATCTAAAATAATATCTAAAATATCTAAAATAATATCTAAAATATCTAAAATAATATCTAAAATATCTAAAATAATATCTAAAATATCTAAAATAATATCTAAAATATCTAAAATAATATCTAAAATATCTAAAATAATATCTAAAATATCTAAAATAATATCTAAAATATCTAAAATAATATCTAAAATATCTAAAATAATATCTAAAATATCTAAAATAATATCTAAAATATCTAAAATAATATCTAAAATATCTAAAATAATATCTAAAATATCTAAAATAATATCTAAAATATCTAAAATAATATCTAAAATATCTAAAATAATATCTAAAATATCTAAAATAATATCTAAAATATCTAAAATAATATCTAAAATATCTAAAATAATATCTAAAATATCTAAAATAATATCTAAAATATCTAAAATAATATCTAAAATATCTAAAATAATATCTAAAATATCTAAAATAATATCTAAAATATCTAAAATAATATCTAAAATATCTAAAATAATATCTAAAATATCTAAAATAATATCTAAAATATCTAAAATAATATCTAAAATATCTAAAATAATATCTAAAATATCTAAAATAATATCTAAAATATCTAAAATAATATCTAAAATATCTAAAATAATATCTAAAATATCTAAAATAATATCTAAAATATCTAAAATAATATCTAAAATATCTAAAATAATATCTAAAATATCTAAAATAATATCTAAAATATCTAAAATAATATCTAAAATATCTAAAATAATATCTAAAATATCTAAAATAATATCTAAAATATCTAAAATAATATCTAAAATATCTAAAATAATATCTAAAATATCTAAAATAATATCTAAAATATCTAAAATAATATCTAAAATATCTAAAATAATATCTAAAATATCTAAAATAATATCTAAAATATCTAAAATAATATCTAAAATATCTAAAATAATATCTAAAATATCTAAAATAATATCTAAAATATCTAAAATAATATCTAAAATATCTAAAATAATATCTAAAATATCTAAAATAATATCTAAAATATCTAAAATAATATCTAAAATATCTAAAATAATATCTAAAATATCTAAAATAATATCTAAAATATCTAAAATAATATCTAAAATATCTAAAATAATATCTAAAATGCTGTCTCTTATACACATCTAGATGTGTATAAGAGACAGGCATTCTACTATTAAAATATTCTGCTATTTTACAATTGAAGCTTTGTATTATTAACACATTCTACTATCAAAATATTCTATCGTTAAAATATCCTACTATTTTATAATTAAAGCATTGCATTATTAACACATACAGTACCATTAAAATATTCTGCTATCAAAGCACTTTTCTATTAAAACATTCTACTGTCGAGACGTTCGACTATTAAAGCTTTTTTCACATAAAGCATTCCACTGTTAAAACATTGTGCTATAAAATCCTATATATGTACATTAAATCCTATAAACCATCGCATTATCTGCCACAGTCATCTCGATACATCAATTCGTAAGAATTCGCCGACATATCCTTCCAGAGCAAACACGTTTCAAGTGTTTCGATGAAACGAGAACCGATCGTCGCCGAGGTGTTTCATTGTGATTACAGAAGCGCGTTTAACTTCTGCCGTTTCGCGTGTCACGGTGGAAGGTGTCGGCGCCGCGAAAGGCCACCGCCGCGCGTCAACTTATGTCATCGATCAAATATAAAAGCGAAAGGGAACGGTGGCGATGAAAAAGAAGAAAAAAGAAAAAAATGAAAAGAATTCACACGCGCGCACGTACGTATAGAAATATCGATAATCGTTGTATTTTTTCCCCCGCCCGGAAACATTAATCGCAGCCGCTCACCGTGATCGGCTTCCAGTTTAATTCTGTCCGGCCTGGAATCCAAAGTGCCCTCGTTCGCGATTTCTTTCAGTCTGTCCAACAAACTCTTTCCCTCCTGCAACGCGCCCATCAGCGCCTCCAGCATGTTCTTCCGTAGATCGTGGATCTTTGACAGGAAGTTCTTCACCGCCTCGATCTCGATCGGCAGCAACGTGTCGTTGCACGTCATCTCGAGGGCCCTCATGCTCTCACGACACTCCTCCGCGCGGCTGCGAAACATTGTTTTTGTTGTTGTTGTAATTATTTATAATTATTACATTTTATAGGTTACGATTATGTGTATTGTTTTGTATTACATTGTGTTACATTGTGTTACATTACATTGTGTTACATTTTGTTACATTACACTGTGTTACATTGTGTTGCATTGTGTTACATTGTGTTACATAATGTTACATTGTGTTGCATTGTGTTACATTGTGCTAGATTGTATTAAATTGTATTACATTTTATTACATCGCATTACATTTTATTACATCGTATTACATTGTATTACATTGTATTACATTGTATTACATCGTATTACATTGTATTACATTGCATTACATTGTATTACATTGTATTACATCGTATTATATTGCATTACATCGTATTAAATTGCATTATATTGCATTATATTACATTACATTGCATTACATTACAATGCATTACATTGTATTACATTGCATTACATTGTATTACATTATATTGTATTATAATATTACTTAATACTATACTATATCATATGTTATAATTATCGTTATTTAATAATCACTGTATCAAGATTATTATTGTATAATTCGTACAAATCTGAATCTTACATCCTTAATAATAATCTTTTCTCGAATTTTATTCGTTCATTTCTACGAACGTTCTCGTTCGAGATTATCTCTGAATAAAAATAAAAAATAAACGAACAAATAACAATAAAAGAGTAATAAATAAGAGTAAATAATTCGAAAGTATAATTTAAACGATTCTCGTTCGTACGAGACATTTATCTCGGCCGATCTGTAATTATTGGTGCTTCTGTAACGATGAGTTTCGATTCATTGAACGAGCGATACTCGAGGCAAGATTATAAACGATGCAAAATTGTCGCGCGCGGTCTCGCAAACAGGTTCGTACGACGGCGTTGCGATTCGCGTGAAAAAACAACGATAACAACGAAGCTTTGGACCAGATCCCTCGAAATAATTACGAACGTCGGTGTAAGTCGAATTCCTTCGGTTTTGCGGACGTATTTATTTAATCCTGGTGGATCGACTGTTAGCGAATCAACCGTTCCCTGAAACTGCATGCGAAATGTTATTCCGACACGTAGACACACACGTACCATTGGAACAATACGTTGCAGTCGAGGATCTGCTTGTGCCGCTCTAAGAGCTCGTTCACGTCGTGCCAAGCCTGGCCCAAAGTTTCCGCCATCGCGGCGTACACTTCTGCCCGCGGCCTTTGGTTCGATATCAACTGATCGGCCTGCCGAAGCAGCTCCTCCACCGGGCTCTGTTTGCTCTTGTCGCGGAAACAAATGATCCGGATTAATTTTATATTCTCATCTTCAATTACTGCCTGCGATGCCTGTGGATCGCCCGCCGTGGGTTTAATTTTTGCAACGAGGAATATCGTTTGTTTCGCGCGAACGACGTTTTTCCACGAACTTTCGATTTTTACGAGATTACGTTTGAGCGTGGAAATTTTCATGACGATTCGCGCAGTATATTTAGTTTATACGTCGCTGTCATGTTTGAGGCGTTTGAAGCGAGCTTTATTTTTTGCTAGGTTCGTTTAATATTATAGTAATTTTTCCCTAATTGTCACCCAAATTGTGCAGAAAAATAAACAATTTGGGAAGAGGCGATACGATTATTCGAGCCTTGCGGTTTATTTTTATAGTTATAAATTGTTCACAATTATAAAAACGAGCCGCGACACTCGAATAATTGTATCTCCTCTTCCCAAAAGTATCCATTTTAGTGGACAATCTGAGCGTCAGTAAGGGAGACATTACTGTATTTGATCGCGATTGATTCGACACTTCATTCGATTTTTCTTTATTGTCCGAAGTTGAAGCTCAAAAGTGGATTTATATGGAAGAGTTGTAACAATTTTAAAAATTAATAATTCGACTTGAAACAATAGTGAACAATCGAACGAAGATTGAATTAAATACGACTTAATAATAGCGAATGAACCTGGCAAAAAATTGATACGCCGCTTTCGCGCGTTACTTGCAAAATACAGGAGCTACGCAGAATTTTCTTTTTTTTTATCGATGATTTCGATAGTTTAAGAGCGATGTATCGCTATTCTCGAATCTTTTCTATCTCGTCTCTATGATTTAGAATTTTACGTAGACGATTTCGTAAGAAATGCACGATTATTCGCGGTCCGTTTCGTCGATGAAAAATGATGAATTTTCTAGGTAATTTCCGACGCTAATTTCTCAGGCAAATTGAATCGAATGTCTGACAGCAGGTATGTTGAAAATGTGGAATAAATGAATAAATATGACGCCCACCAGACCAGACGCGCGATCCGATATCGCGGGACACGGACACCTTCTGTTTAAGCGAACGTTAACGAGAGCTTAAATTATGCGGATTAGCGCGTTTACCTGTAATCGAAGCAGAACTTCGTCGTGTGCGCTCGAAAACTCGGTAGCTTCTTCGACAGAGGAACCGAGCTTCGTTAATTCCGGCTGCACCTCTAACACCTTCAGCCTGAGCCATTCCCCGCTCTGCAAGATGCAACAAACGAAAATGTCAAATTTCATAGATCGCATAATTCATTTTTATGAAAGCTCACGATTTCACATAAAAATGGAATTGTTTGTGTGACGTAACGCGACTTTGTCCGTTTAAATAAACAAATAAATAAAAATTGAATCTTAATTAATTAAGAAATGAAAATTAAAGTCAATTTTAATCAAATTAAAGATTAAAATTAAAATTAAATTCAATGAAATTAGAAATTAAAATTAAAATTAATTTCAATCAAATTAGAAATTAAAATTAATTTCAATCAAATTAAAGATTAAAACTAATTGCAATCAAATTAAAAATTAAAATTAATTTCAATCAAATTAAAGATTAAAATTAAAATTAATTTCAATCAAATTAGAAATTAAAATTAAAATTAATTTCAATCAAATTGGAAATTAAAATTAAAATTAATTTCAATGAAATTAAAGATTAAAATTAAAATTAATTTTAAATAAAAATTATCGCGGTCGAACAAATTTATAAGCACAGAAAAAAATAATCGATGAATTATCAAATTTCATAGATTCCATAATTCATTTTTACGTTGCTCTTGATTTCACATAAAATAGAATAGTTTTCCTGACGTAACAGGACTTTGTCAGTTAAA